AATTTGTTTGTTTTTAGAGTTTAGTAAACTTTTTGAATTGATTTAACTCTATGTATGATTTTGAGTCTGGAATTCCAGGAAAGTTCAAGTTTCGAAGTGAAGTGAAGAAACTGACAGAAAATACATCTTAGAAGAGGGGGAAATAACATTGTGATTTGGGTTTCACATTATTTCTTCGAATGGTAATAATAAATCTCAGTTCTTTTTATTTTTTTCAGGATCAAAGTAGCAAGGATGAGTGACTTCCTTTTTAGAAAAACACACGAACAAGGGCTCAATTCCTGTTTTAAGAAAAGTATTGATAACAAATATAAAAGTTTATTGTTATTGATTTTTTCCCCTGTTTTTTCTAATACCAAAAGACAATCTTTTTAAAAAAAACATTCATTTTATACTGAGAATGCTTAAATAACTTCAGTAATAAATAAATTCAGTAATTCAAAATATATTTTCAGTTTTATCGTTTTAAAAATGTTAAAAATTCAGGAAAAATTTAAAATAATATTATAATTAGAAATATGGAGTCAAAATATAATGCCTTCAGAACGTAAATTTTAAATATATATATATATATATATATATGTGTGTGTTTCTAAACAAACGGAGATTCGTATTTTTGTTCTTTCATTCGCATAATGACAAAAACATTCAACATAATAATTTTACTTTTTCAAATTAATTAGTAATTTACTTTGATATATAAACATTTATTGCAATAGATTTCAAAATTAAACTTTGGCCCTCTTTTCTGCCATTACATTTTAAGAATTAGAATTATGCGCAATTTTCTTAATTTTCTAAGATATTATTATTCATTTTTTTCCAAATAGACACAACATTTATTTCATAACCTAATAAAACAGAAACTCAATATTTTGTAATTAGAAACTTTGTTTTCTGAATACCACTATATAATTTCATTTCCCAAAATATTATTTAAATATTACTATTACATTTGTGAAAAGTACTTCAAATGCCGTGGTTCATACACAGACGTTTTTTTAACTCGTAACTTATCAGCTGGTAATTTTTAAGCTCTATCATTTATTTTGCGGGTGAATTAATACCAAATAACTATAAAATATTTTTTTTAATATTTAGGTATTTTTAAAATAAATATTTAGATATTTTTTAAAACAAATATTTAGACATTTTTAAAATGAACACTTAAATATTTTTAAAATAAAAACACTTAAATATTTTTAAAATAAATATGTAAATATTTTAGAAATAAATACTTAAATAATTTTAAAATACACAATTCGTATTCTTTACCTTCATTTCGTTGTATTATAACTAAAATAATTAAATTTCCAAAAAAGCTGAATATTTTAAAATACAAAAAAAAAAGAAAAGTAAATACAATATTATATTTTGCATTCAACAGTTTTTTAAGTCAATAATAAAAAAATCATGCGTTTATCAAAATTTTTATTCCAAAAAAAATAATAATTTAGCAGATGTAAAATTCATGTCTATAATACAAGAAACAAACATATCTTTCAAAATAATTCTATCTTTCCAAATCCGAACTCAGAAACTTATTATTCCCTTTTTACCTTTTTCTTCAGTAACTGCAACAAAAATCAGACGGAATTTTGGAAAACAAGACAATTTTCAATCGTCCAAAGACAAAATAAAAAGAGAAAAAGAAACTTTAAACATTTTTCCCCCTCTTGAAACTTCAAACAATTGCTTATGGCTTCCACATATAGACAAAAGATTGCTCTTTTATCACGTGGTTTGATGGAACGTAAATCATGAAAAAGAAGAAAAAAATGGCAAACTTTTTGTTTTCTTCACTTACGCTTGCGGTTCGGAAGAATTTCCGGGTTTTTCTAATTGTTCTTCGCTAAAGGTCGCCAGACTTTTTTCCCCAGTCACTGTTTTAAAAGAAATATGGCCAAGTTCTTTTGTTCCAAGGGCGAAATGGCGCGAAATACAATGGCGGCGTTGATTTAAATTCTAATTGGCCGGGTCGCAAGGTACGAAATTAATTATGAGCTTCATGATTAGCATTTTGGAATAAGGCATCTTGTCTCACTTCGCGGGTTCCTGGACCGGTTCTGGTAAAGTCGAGGGTCAGTTGTTTATCTTTTAGGTGGACGCCCGCGTGTGTGAAAAATGCATTCGATACTTTTACAAGAGAGAAAAGGAAGGGAAAAGAACTTACAAGGTAGAGGTCACTTCCCCACACGTGGCTGATTTTGGATGTTAAGGTTCAGCGAAACAGAATCTGGGGGACCGGTAAGGACATGTCAGTGAAAATTAAACTCAGCATCAGTTAAAAGAAATTATTCAAACATCTGAAATCATTAGCCATAGTAATAAGGTGAACAGTTTTCTTACAATGAAATGGAGGAAGCGCGCGAAAAATTTAAGAAGTTACATGGTAAATATTTAAAACTTTTTAATTCAAATAAAAATACGCTAAATACGTTTGCATTCCTTTTGATTATTTACTTGAACGAGTATTTTCCCATTGAATATTTCTTTTGTAAATATATCATTTTCTAACACATGGAAATTTCGGAACAAAAAATATCCTTTATGTTGAGGTTTAGATTAAGTGCTACAGCTAAAGTATCAACATTCAATCTTGATTTCTCACTAGTCCAAAAATCCTTACCAACTGAAAAAACTCCTTCAATTTCTGCATTCGTTCCAGGTCAGCGCAAGGTAAATTCAACAAGAATAACTAAATAATCATATGGAAAGTGTTCATTTTTTAAATGGTTAAGTATTTCTACCCATCTTTCATCAATTTCAGAATGTTGATCTACCAATTGATCCAATTTATTAGAATTTAAATATACATTCAGAGTCTTCTAAGTTATTGAAGCAGACAACTGTCATCGATTTTAATATCAGGCATTTCTTACCATAAAAACTCAACACAATTTTCTATATCTGCCCAATTTGCTTGCGATGAAGTAAAATAAACACTATTGAAAACTGTTATTTCCTCTGATATTCGTTTCAGACCGTTCTTCGACATATTAGAAACATGTTTGGTTTATTTCTGAATAGAGATTAACAGATCAGTTGTTTTTAAATATTGAAAAGGATGACACTTTTAGAGGAAGGACAGAACCGATAAAAGGAGGACTGTCCTCCCTAAAGGACGGTTGGTCACCTTAATAGTAAGGAATTTACATATAATGATACTTTTGTGTGTGGGCTTAATTCATGAAAAGGAATACATAACAAAATTAGCAGAAAAAAAATTATAAAATTTTATTCAAAAATGTGCTTTCTGTGTGAATTTGTGGAATATATTCATACGAAAGTACAACATCCCTTTAGTTTACACAGCGAAAATTACAGCTTTTCTTTCAAAGTATGTCATAAGCCCGTGTTTCTCAAACTTTCTATACTTGCGACCCAATCTTCAATCACAATTTTCATCGCGCCTTCTTCCCCCTCCTAACAACAATGTATTGAAAAAATTCAATAATAATATACTTTGATGTAAGGCTGCCATACGATTTTAATTATAAACTGTCCAAATTATCATGATTATTAAATTTTGTATGTAATTTTGTATGTAATTATTAAACTTGTTCTTAGTACTGTTAAATTAATTATGAAACACATTGTGCAGTACTGATATATTTATAAATGTATTATATCAGTGTAAAAATGTATATTTTACTTTTTATTATGAAAGAATCTATTTTGTTTTGCTACCTTTCAGTTAATTCATAATTTTTTAAAATTGTTTTAGATATTTCGATATAGTCCCCCCGTAGGGTTATCAAGCCTCCCTGGGGGGCACCCCATAGTTTGAGAGACATTGTTATAAGCTATATCATTTCAGTTAGGATTTTCATTTTGTGTTTATTAAAATTTTAAAATCACATATTAGACATTTTAAAAATTTCGTTCTGATTATTTTAATGGAAAGAGTATAAAGAAATAGAAAAGTAATATTTGAAATTGTATAATGATTTTAAATCCACAGAAAATTACTCTTCCATTTTCAATAGAGTTCTGTACAAACAATATTAAATATTTGGAAAAATATTGCAAAAGCTGAAGTCTAATAGATTATGATTTTATTGCATGCGACGTAGAATACGATTTCAAAAACAATTTCAAGAAAAAGTTTTATAACATTTCTTTTCTAACTTCTAATCATTGTAACATGTATTATAGCGTACTGCGCGCATCGGAGTATATATTGCACACCTATACTTTCAAATTGCATTCTTTAATTTTTAGGTATATTCACCGTATAACGCGCACATTTTTTTTACAAAGGAACCTGAAATGTGCCTGCCCAATGCAATCTCATCTTTTGAAGTCATTTATTTGAAGTATTATACCAGGCTTTTGAACAACGGTATGCTTCTAGAACTAAAAGGCTACAGCGCAAGAGAAGTGGTATTAGAAGGACGTGGGTTCTGGAAGATGAAAAAACAGTTACAAAAGCTATATGTATCATGCGAGTCTAAAAATAGTGTATGAGTGATAATAAAATCATAGAATGAGAAATTAAAGCAGAAAATTCGAAATTCATTTAAAAATGTAGTATATCTAGAAATCTAGTAAGAAAAGATGATTTATTAATGGATCAAAGTAACATGGACGGCGAAGAAAAAACAGAATTCGATGACGGTATAGCAGATTTTTCGTTTTTTCCAAAAATGAAAAATAATAAGGTATGACATTTCCTTTAACTAAATATTATTTACATACATATAGAAATCTAATTTTTTTAACGCACATTTTCACTTTATTTTAAAGCTGTCATTTTTATATCTGCATATAACGTACACCCGTGACTTTCAAGCTTATTTTTTCAATTCCTACTATTAGTTAACATTCTCTTCCTATATATATATCTTGTTCAAATTTTCAATAAAATACGTTTTATTCATCCACTCAAGTTCAAATACATTTTTTTCAAATATTAATTCAATTTAATTAATGAATAAATAGTAACAAACAAAAACGATAATTCACCACCCTATTTAAAAAGTAGAATCACTCGGTATGTCCCTGTAGCGCAATGGAAAGCGCATTAGACTTCTAATCCAAAGGTAATGGGTTTGAGTCCCATCTGGGGTTGCTTAATTTCCGAGAATGTGATTCCTTTTTTACCATGCTATTTTATTAGATTAATTAAATTTAATTAAAATGAATAAATAGTAACAAACAAAAATAAATGTTCAACATCCTATGTAGAAAGGAAAATGAAAAATTGCTTTCTATTTTGCCACTTAATATTGTGATTCTGTCATATGTATATAGTACATATTTATATTAACTGCAATTATTTAATAAAAAGTAACTAAAATAAAATTTTTGTTCAAGTAGGCTTAATTTTTTTTATATTACTCGTTTTTACATAGTTAGAAATTCTTTTGTTACATTTTTATGCATTTATTACTCCAAATAGTAAATTGATTAACTAATGCCTTGTCATAGTGACCAAAAATATTCTATCGATATAGTTTGATCCTGCATAAAATAACAGCTGTAAAAAAAACCAAACGATTTTTGTCTCTTACAGCAAACGAAAGTAGCGAAAACATTCTACAAGAAAATTCACCTGCTCCGATTTCCTATTGTTTGGGCACATGCTTATCCAATTCGCGTAGGAGTCATCGACAGAAAAATTAAAGGAATAGTTCGTTGAAGAAAATATAGGCCACTATGAGAGTAAAACGATGGGTGCTTCTCAGATTGGATGGTGCATGGCACTTACTTTCTGAATTTTGGAAGGGTGGACTAAATAGGACAACATCCGACCCCAATTTTTTTTTCAACCTAAAGAAAACGTTTTGTTCCTTAGTTTTACGATGGCCTTGGTTTGAATCAAGGTAGGCGGTTCTTTGTTTTACCATGGCAAATTCGTAGTTTTTGTTCCCTTCTTCAAATAGCATGCTTGAAGAAACAATAGTTTGCCAATGAGAATTGTAGGTGGTATGCTTGGAATAATAGCTGGCAGGGAGGTATCGCTGGTAATCAGTAGTACTGTAGGTAACTGTATCATAAGCTTTGTATTTGTTTTTCAAATTCATTTAAAAAAGAAACTTACAAGCTAATTTATTTTCTTCATTTTCGGTTTTGAATAAATCGTATTTATTGTATTGTCAAGAAATTTTCTTGTGTGATGTAGTATATATGAAATATTAACATTAAAAAATTATATACTTCATTTGAATCTGTGATTTTTATCTATTTACACGTATTGGTTTGAAAATTTTAATATTTTTTTTTATTTTTAAATGGGTTAATGATTCATGTGAGATATCATAGTCGCATGATAAATGTAATCACGTGTTTCCAGCCAATAAACTTTAGACTTTTTCCAGAAACTTTCTTTTAAAAAGTTAATATTTGTCGACAATAATAACGTACATAAGTAAACAAAATGTAGTTGATTTAAAAATACACGTATAATATGAGAATTTTTTAAAATTTTGTGTGTGAGAAACTCTTTGAAGAATTTTACAATTTAAACATTTTATTAAATAACTAAACATGGAATTTTATCTATATCTTACAAATAGAACAAGTATAAGTCTAATGCCATTTTAAATTCAATAGAGAACCTGTGATTGTATGTATCATGTGATCATCATGAGTTTAGCACATTTTTATCAGGGAATATCTAAGTCAAAGACTATACACGTGATTTATTTTTAGCGAATTATAACTAAATTTATATAACATATAATTTTGAGATATAAAACAAGTAATACAGTTGCGAAAACAAGGCATAATATATGTCATAATCACATAATTATAGACAATTACAAAAATTCTAAGAACATACAAACCATCAGGATAATTCAAGAATTCTAAAATACTGTTATCTTAAAAGTAGTAAAATCTTAAAAATGAAGTTGGAACAAAAACCAACAACATTTAGGATCCACAATAAAAGGGAAAATATGCGTCAGAATATAATTATGAAACACAATTTAGTAAACGAAAAAAAATTATATTCTACAAATTATGTTTACATGTGAATAATTTTTGAGACATTAGTGATTATGTTCTAATAATCAAATTGCTTTTTATCAATTAAAAAAACTCTTAAGCATATTTTCCTTAACATTATACAGATGAGATTTCAGAATCACAAAAAATATTTTGTGGGTACAATGAAGAACAGCATTGTTCGTTATATTATTCTTTGGTTCGATTTTTTAAAAATATTAGAATGTTATGAGAAAAAATAATATACATTGCATCTTAAAAAAGAAGATATAATTCTATTTCTTACAACACTTTATTTCGTAATGCTAATATTGTTTTAAAAATTAGTTTTATAGTCAATAAAAGTTATATTTTTTATCAACAGAATTAGATCGTCGAATTCCTCATATTTTATTCTATCATTCTAATTTTTAAATCATATTTAGCTTGAATTTCAACAAAATTTCCAGAATATTATTTTTATTGATAATTTATGTTAATTTACCAGTTTTTAATGGAAAACGGATATATCAATACATCGAACATGAAACCATAGTGGATTTTCTAGTACACAACCGTCCTTGTAACAATAACATTTGCTCTTGAAATACATCAAAACAGGCAATAGCATAGAAAATAGCGATATTAATACCCAAACGATATTTTCTTGTTGCCACTAAAGACATCAAAAAAGAAAGCAAACGCCTCTCTCTTTAAAAACAGGATTGAGCTCCAGTTCTCTGCGAGTTAGCCTTGGCACCGTTTCTTTACAGTCAAAAGTTAAGCCGGTGTTCGAGAGATATATTATAAAAGCAGACGATCGAATTGCTCGGAAGCTATTCCAAAGCCACCGGAAAAGAAGTTGAATTCAAAGAATGCGCTTCAAATGAAGTGGAATGATTGCTCGCCCAAGAGGAAAAAAGAATCACGGAATTCTTTGTTCTGTTTCCTTTTGTATATTCAAATCAACAGAAGATATTTTGTTTAGGGATTTGCAAAGAAAGAATTTTTCAGTGAAGCGTGATTTTAAAGATGCAATTGTTACATGATCTTTGGCCATTTTTTATTATTAAATATTTCATTTGCAATTGGTTTTGATAAGTTTTTAAATTAAATTATATTCTTCATTTATAATTTCTAAATAAGAATTTACATGGTATTTTTAGAAGTAATAATATACAAATAGAGAGAAGTAGTAAGAAATGCTGTAGTATTAGGTCCTAAAAATTTTTCTAACTCTTGATATAACTGCTAATTAATTTGAATTCAAAGTTATATCCTGTGTAATTTGGATATAATTTATAAGAATTGTTTCAAATAATTGTTTCGGCATTTTATGAAATTTTAATTTTAATGAGTAAACATAAAATATACCAGCTTCTAAAAAGTAAAAGTAAAGTTGCTATCTTGAGCAGTTCAATTCTAAGAATTAAAATGTAGAAAAAATAATCAATTAATATAGATTCATGTTATATTTCAGTGTAATCCTTTTCAATAATTCAAAGCTTAGACAAAAATTATCTAGAAATTATATATCACACAACTAAAGAAAAATTTCAATTAAAAAACCTATTAAATGTGTGCCACACTTATTGATAGTAACAAAATTAAATTTACTTCACTGCAGTAAAAGTTAAATTACACCAAAAATTGTGAAAATGAAATATAACTAGGGATATCAATTAAATAATTCAGTTTTTCTTTAATTTTTGCTTGAAAGTACTTTTATTGAATGAAAAATTGATAACGGATGAATTATATTGTTTTTGAAAATTTTTGCTTTACTTAATAAGACACAAAAGACGTATAATACAAGGCAGTGATCCACAACCTTTTTATCGCTGCGAACCGGTCAACGTTTGAAAATTTTACCGCGGCCCGCTGAGGGTGGGACACGTTGATTGTTTACATTTTAGATTGTATTGATAAAACAATTTTAATTTAGTTACTTTTAAATATGCCTTCAGAATAAAATATAGTTACACCAAAAATGAGCAAATGTTATTTCCGTGGAAAGTTGCGCAAATCCGAGAGAAATGCACCACTTTAAATAAAATGTCAAAAATTTATTTTTCTTAAGGCGGCCCGGCACCATTTGATCCACGGACCGGTACCAGTCCGTGGACCGGGGAATGCGGATCACTGATATAAGGTGTATAAAATAGGTTGTGCATTGTAAACTACGTAAAAAGGTTGTAGGTTTAAATTTGTGGAAGATTATTTTGTAATTTTCATATATTTACGCCAGTCCCCCAATGAGACAAAAACGATTTGAAGTAAAACTTTGTACATGAATTAAACAGCACATTTGAATTAAAACTTTTTACAAAACTCCATTTTACATGAAATGGGAAACTGATTACAGAATTTAATAGTGCAAAAATGAAAAAAATCAGTTTACGATTAACGCTCTAACGAATACTTAAAGATTTCTTTAAGGTACCTTACATAGTAATTCATTTGTTTACTCTCTCTTGATTGAAGGTCAAACCAAGAACTGCTTTGTCGACTATTTGAAAAGACCTAGTATAAATCGGAAAGGAAGGATTCTTTGAACCACCAAGTGTGCCCTGGACCACCCACACAGTTTCTTGGTTCACTTGATTTGATTAACGTTTTCTTTCCAGTAACTCCATGGGCTGCTGAAGATGGCTCTGTTATTTTGTAAAAGCCCCAAAGAAAAAAAATATATAAACAGTGAGGTCATAACAAGACTGAGTTAATCTCTTTGGAAGACTCTTACACTTTCAAATATTCTTCAATCACTCTCTAATACTTTGTAATTTTACCCACAATAATCAAAGAACATATTTTGTTCACAATAATCGCATTATGAGTAAGAAATATTTTGCTGCAACATCAACATTTAATGGGCTTTCATGCAGCTTCTACGTTTCAATTTAGCTAGTGTTTAGGATCATACAGACCAAGGTAAAATGTCTACAACCGTTTGTAGAGATCGCTTAAAACCTACTTCTATTTTAACATCGTTAGTGCAGAGTTATTTCTTTTAACATCGATGCTTGTGTACTGGTAAAATTGCTCTTGATTCAAAAAGAAATATTAGTCCAAGGATTCAATTAATTATTAATACATTTGAAAAAATAAAAATAGATTTTTTTTAAGAAAAAGGCTTAATA